AGAACACCGCCAACTCCATACCTGTCCCTTTCAATTTTGTTCGAGGGATGATTGCTGCTTCCCCGCTCTCTCCAGACGAGTATGTGATAAGAATCGCTACTCAGACTGAATCTGCTCCCATCTGTAAAGAGTACTCGTCCCCATTCATTGTCTCTCCAATTCCGGTGTTCGCGGCACCACAGAGAACGCCTTCTCCGATGGGCAGGCGTTAGGGGTACACCGTACAGGGCGTCGTGCAAACAGACCACCACCTTGCAGTCTTCTGGCCACGGTAAAACGCGATATTGGTCGTCCAGTCGCCTGTGTCGTGTGTCTAGCGATTTCTCCCGCTGTCTGCCGCCTGTTTCTTCTGGCCTGTAAGGCAATATACCGGTCATCTGAGGGTGTGGTTCCTCGTGGACGACCACTACTAAACCCCCGGATAGCTGTTCCTATACTTTGAAATTGTCTTGAAATTCGTGAAACGATGCTGTGAGCAATTCCGAACTCTGCAGCCACACTTTTCACACTGCGGCCTTCCTCCAGCTTCCCAATGGTTCGACCTCGGGTAAAAGCGTCCAGATGTCGTCTAACAGATTGATTATTCGCCATTTCTCGCTGAGGCAGCAACTCGGTGTGATTTTAACTGCTATACGGCGTGCAATCTCTTTGCCAGAAATACTGATCTTACACCGACAACATGCTTTATACTACTCAGACACTCCCGTAATTTACGAATTTTTAGAAAGTTTTTAGGGGAAAGATGGAAATGACCTAAACGAATTTTTAAAAAAAACATTTTAGGTCATTTCCATCTTTCCACTTGTTGATATCGGTATATTAAAATATATGGATTAATTAAGTTGCATTTAATTAGAAAACAAAACATTAAGAAAAGTATGATGCGACATATTTTTAATCAACATAATTATTTCATTTTGGAATTGTAACATTTTTGTAAGAAATTATTACCACTGAAAATACAATCTTATTACTCTAAAGAATAAACGAGATTCTCGCAAGACCGTGTTGTTCAAGTTTTTCTAATTTTAATTTGTAACACATCTTGTACATATTAGACTGAATTATAAACCAAGTGTAATTAATCAGGTAATCTTAGAAAAAGAATAAACTTAGTAAGCAAGTATATACATTACATTCAGAATTCTAAGTGTTTACATAAACTTTTCTCGCAAGGCCTGGCGGGAAAAATATGTCAAACGTTCTTTGGTCAGACGATTGCAAACGAACGCTAACATTCAAAACCGTGAAAAACAACCTTATATTTAGCGTAGGTATAATGAAACACTCAATCGATTTCGAGGGCAGCTAAAGGTCCCTCCTCATCAGGAGAAAGAAATACATAGAAAGAAGAAAATAGGAATCACAGAAACACGTGGTGCTTATCAGCACTGCACGTCGTTATAACTAGATTTTTAATCAGAGTTGCACTGGCCGCCTACTTTTACTGAGCCAGGCTGTCTGATCAAGCATAAAGAAATATTAGCGAAGTTAAAATAGGGAGCGAGGGGCAAATGCACATTACGCTCAAAATCTGAACTTCAAATAATGGAAATCAACCACTGAACGGATTTTTATACCCTCTGGTAGTACCAAGTGCGAGGAGGTAACGCCATCTATCGGCAAAAATAATTGAATTAAGACAGTAGAATTTTAAAGGCATTAGGAAGGACTGGATTGGACTTCAAATCATTAACTAAACTTTCTAAATCTTTATGAATGTGAAAAGCCTCAAGAAAATCCAATTCGCCTATGGAAGAAGCCTTTTGGATGATTTTTGCAGACCCAAAATCAAAATTATGGTTAAAAGTCCAGCTATGATACGCTATTGAAGACTTGTTAATTTCCCCTTTTTCGACATAAGATTCATGTTCCTTGATACGAAACTTCAACGCTCTTTTTGTTTGGCCAATATATCTTAAACCACACTGACATGATATACTATAAATTCCCCAAGAATTCAAGACAGAAACGCAATCTTTTAGAATCGAAGGGTGAATTTTATTAATAGGGGAGAAACCGACTTGAAAATTGAATTTCTGGAGAATCCGTGCAATTTTATAGCTAACAGAAGGATAAAATGGAAGCACGACAAGGTCATTGATATTATTTCTAACAGTGGAATGTCTTCTTTGATGGGAATCTGAAAAATTTTTTTTTTTTTTTTTGACGGCTTTATCAATAATCACGGGAGAAAATCCACGGTCAATCGCAACTGCTCTCAAATAATTAAGTTCATTGGTAAGCAAAGATTCAGAGGAACAAACTTTTAGCGCGCGGAAAACATAATAGTAAAAAGAAGCCATTTTTTGCTTAACAGGGTGGCATGACTTGGCATGGGGTGGTAAACAAACTGCAAAGGGTTTACGGTACACAGTGGTGCTAAAATCGGTTTCATTGCGGATTATAAGAATATCGAGGAAGGGGAGGGAATTGTTGGATTCAATTTCAAGAGTGAATTGGATGGCTGGATCAATTGAATTCATAATAGATAGAAATTGAATCCAACAATTCCCTCCCCTTCCTCGATATTCTTATAATCCGCAATGAAACCGATTTTAGCACCACTGTGTACCGTAAACCCTTTGCAGTTTGTTTACCACCCCATGCCAAGTCATGCCACCCTGTTAAGCAAAAAATGGCTTCTTTTTACTATTATGTTTTCCGCGCGCTAAAAGTTTGTTCCTCTGAATCTTTGCTTACCAATGAACTTAATTATTTGAGAGCAGTTGCGATTGACCGTGGATTTTCTCCCGTGATTATTGATAAAGCCGTCAAAAAAAAAAAAAAAAAAAAAAATTTTCAGATTCCCATCAAAGAAGACATTCCACTGTTAGAAATAATATCAATGACCTTGTCGTGCTTCCATTTTATCCTTCTGTTAGCTATAAAATTGCACGGATTCTCCAGAAATTCAATTTTCAAGTCGGTTTCTCCCCTATTAATAAAATTCACCCTTCGATTCTAAAAGATTGCGTTTCTGTCTTGAATTCTTGGGGAATTTATAGTATATCATGTCAGTGTGGTTTAAGATATATTGGCCAAACAAAAAGAGCATTGAAGTTTCGTATCAAGGAACATGAATCTTATGTCAAAAAAGGGGAAATTAACAAGTCTTCAATAGCGTATCATAGCTGGACTTTTAACCATAATTTTGATTTTGGGTCTGCAAAAATCATCCAAAAGGCTTCTTCCATAGGCGAATTGGATTTTCTTGAGGCTTTTCACATTCATAAAGATTTAGAAAGTTTAGTTAATGATTTGAAGTCCAATCCAGTCCTTCCTAATGCCTTTAAAATTCTACTGTCTTAATTCAATTATTTTTGCCGATAGATGGCGTTACCTCCTCGCACTTGGTACTACCAGAGGGTATAAAAATCCGTTCAGTGGTTGATTTCCATTATTTGAAGTTCAGATTTTGAGCGTAATGTGCATTTGCCCCTCGCTCCCTATTTTAACTTCGCTAATATTTCTTTATGCTTGATCAGACAGCCTGGCTCAGTAAAAGTAGGCGGCCAGTGCAACTCTGATTAAAAATCTAGTTATAACGACGTGCAGTGCTGATAAGCACCACGTGTTTCTGTGATTCCTATTTTCTTCTTTCTATGTATTTCTTTCTCCTGATGAGGAGGGACCTTTAGCTGCCCTCGAAATCGATTGAGTGTTTCATTATACCTACGCTAAATATAAGGTTGTTTTTCACGGTTTTGATTGTCACATTAGCGTGTTTCTCTTCTAGTCTAGAACGCTAACATGATTAATTTTGTTTTCAACAACCACATTACCGTTTCTGTTAAACAATACAACAGTGATTAAATTTTGGAATAATTAGTTACAAATGATACAGTCAATTTGAATCGTAATTTATCGGATGCACAATGATGAAATACTACTATTAGATCTGCATTTGGAATTTTGCACTCTTTCAAATTAAAATCATTAGACTTTACGAACACTAGTATTTATTAATAGCAAAGCCTACACGTAAATTACTTACTCAATACTTATAATAGTGCAAAGTGCATGAGAATAATCTGAATAAAATGAATAAAAAATATTTCAAACAGTAATTGTAAAAGTTTAGCTACTTACCTCCAATATACAACCAAAATGCAGTCAGCTATGTTTTTCCTACGACTAGCTTTCAAACGCTTTTCTCCTGATCGGCTGAACGACTTTTTTTTTTTTTTTTTTTTTTTTTTTTTTACATTGTACGGCTGCTATCACACGGCGGTTTGTTTCGGAGGAACAACTGTTTGGAACAATTTTTCTGCTTTGTCACAACAGCCAATCACCATAGATCTCTTTGCGGTTAACACACGGGAACTGGTTCCTCATTACAAACAAGCTGATAGCTGATTGGTTGAATACGAACAACTTGCAATTTGTTTGGAAAGGAAGGAAAAAGTCGCACGTCTTTCTTTCAAAAGTAAACTAGTGAAAAAAATTGTCCAAAATAGTTGTTCGAGTGAAACAAAAGTCGTGTGATATGGGCTTAACAGGATTCTTCAGAAAGATAATGCTAAACCCCACATTATATGAGTAGTTCTACAAAAACTTCTTAGGCAAATTATTACCGATGTTACCAGTAGCTTTAAAACTCAAAATATTGCCCACTATAGTAGATCACTGAAGATACTGATATTACTATAGTTCACCTCTGTAGATTTTATGAAGCAGAAACTGCCACAAAATACCATAAGAAAACCGGAAAATATAAAAAAATGAAATTTTTGCAGTAAAAGAGACTGTTGCAAAGAACAAAAAATTGCTTGGAAGTTGTATGATGAATATTTTAGGAATAAGTAAATTTATCAAACGCGTTTTCCAATCAAAACGCGTTTGTCTTAATTCTGCATAGTTTTCCATTCAAACCAAAATGTTCTATATAAGCGTAAAATACGCATAATATATATTTTTGAAGCATTTATAAATGAAATCACAGAGTAATTATTTTATCATTATGCATTTATTAATTGTATTGTTTTTTGTGTCCACAGAAAGTAAGAAACAGGATCTTCTTTTTCCAATTCTTCTTGGAGCCATGCTACTTTTGACATTGGTTCTCTTCGTGAGTTTGGGTTATGTACTTTGCAGGAAGTGAGTACATGCTTTTGAATTTTCTTAGTCATATTATAAATTATTGTTTTTCCGATGTACTTTTCAAATTATGCAAAATATATCTGCAGAAATTACCTAAGTGTTAATAAATTTTATATTTTGTTCTAAAATTGGAAAAAATCATAAATTTTTGTAACATTAATAAAAAATATTATATTAGTATTATAATAGCAAGAGTTACAGATAAATTTACAGTAATGGATAACATGCGTCTGAAAGCTATCATACAAATTTCATTCTTCTAAATTCCAGATATGATATTTTTGACTTCGAAATCAATTACATATTAAAATATTCTTATGTTCACAAATATATAACATACCTTAATAAATAAATTGCATACTTTCACATTTGTAAACTAAATATTTTCACAAATAGACTTCATACCTTTTATATTTATAAATTGTATCCCTTATCCTATACTACCTTAATATTCCTGAATTGAAAATAAATTTCACAGCTTCACAAATAAATTGCATATCTTCAGATTGATAAATTGTATATCTTCACAAATGAAGTTAAAAATTATTTCAAATAAATTTATTTCAAATAAATTTTACCTTTACATAAGGTCATGTAATGAATCTACACATTATTCCAAATAATTTTCCAAATAAGAAATTCGCTTGATAGTCTTACTATTTATACACAAAATTACTCATATTTGTTCTGTGCGCATGCGCTGTAACACATTTCATTCAAATTTGACGTCTGCTGCATGTTGTCTACTGAATTCAAGTCATTTTAATGGCCTGCTCCATAACTTAAATATATGTATATATATATATATATATATTGCTTTTAAATGACGTACCTAATTCTCATGTTATATACCATAATATATATTTTGCAGTCTTTTCTATTTAATTGCTTTATATCGGAAAAACACAGTTTTTAACATAACCGCTAATTTGCTAATTTTGCTGATACTTTTTACAACAATTTGCTTTATTACATAATTAATATCTTAAGATCTTAAAGCTTTTGCGCATTGCACAATAAAAATTTCCGTCACTTCTTTTTTATCAACAGGTAATATGCGATCTATACTAGTCTGATAAATTTTAATATAAAAATTTATATTCTTTGCAAATCTTCTGGTTTATTCAGTAATTTAAAACATTTGTTAATTGCTTCCAAGTACTTGTTTTCCGGATTAACTTTTAAGCGATTATAATACAATTTGTGTATGAGTTAAATGCTCCATATTTTAATTTGAACTATTTATGTATGAATACATGTAAACCATTTCTATATATGTGTGTTTAAAATTTCAGGAAATAGATGAACAAGAAAAGCGAGTTAGATGAACAATTTAGTGCACTCTCTTGAAAATATTGTTTACAAGAAACATCAGACTATTGAAAGGGACTCTGCATGTTATATCTACTAAATATTCCTCATCTCAGAGGGAATGATTAAGACGCTGGCATAAAAAATTGCTATTTGCAAAAGTCGCATAATGTTACATTTTTAAAGTAATAAAATGTTCTTAGAAGGAAGAAGTATTTTTCAAATTTAGTGACATGCTAGATATCTACTGTACACGAACATTTTGTACACATTTTATCTTTGTTTACACAATAATATCCTTGTACACGAACATGTTGTACACTGCTCAAAAAAAAAAAAAAAAAAAAAAAAATGAGACAGTTCTATATCCCCGTTCTACTGGGCCGATTCACAAAATTCAAATTGAGTTCTTCATGTCTCGAAAGCGCGACTTAGGATATATATTAGATTTATATATAGCACTATTATAACATAGGTATTTTGACATAAAATCGGCCTTTTTCTGAAATAACATACCAATTTTTTACATATTTCGATTCTACAACTCATATTACGCCTAAATATGAAATTTTGTAAAATGTTTAGCGAAATTTACGGAGAAATTCACAAATTTATGTTGGCACTTTTTTTTTCAGTTTGCGCCAAGAATAGTTCACTTGGCGAACTTCTTAATATATGGCAACCTCGTTTCCTTTCCTGTGAGAGGAAAAAAAAGACACCATCGTCCCTTTTTTCCAAATAATATTCTTTATATTATATTTTTAATCATAACTTATTATTTTAAGTAATTTTTTCTTTTTCGAATTTCATTTTAATTGTTTAAGTTGCATGGTTTTTTTTTTCGAATAACTGTTTTAAAAATTTCTATTTACCAATTCGAACTGCGTTAAATAAAGATGGAGCATTTATTTTTTTATCAAATAGTTTCTTTATATATACATTTTTGTCATAGTTATTATTTAGGATAATTTTTAAATTTTTATACTTTTATTTTAATTGTTGTGTTGCATTGCAGATAATTGTCTTAAAATTTCCTATTTATTCCTTCGAACTGAGCATTTTAAATATATTTATTAATATAAATTTTCCAGAATTTGATTTTTTTTATTTATTTGGAATTGCGTTTCTTTCCGAAGAATACTTTGTAACCCAGACTACGATGCGTTTGAAAACTGCATATATTAAAAGAGAAAATACAGTAAAGCACAATTTAAGTAAAGCACAATTAACACGCCTTTCAATGTACCGTTCAGAAAAGATATATATAAATAAGAGAGATGTATAACCGACATTTTAACTTAGGATGACTTCAATACACTGCTTTAAGCAGTTTTATCATCGTGCCCATTGCTTTACACAATTTTATCCTACATTTGGTTTCTTAAAATGTTATTCATATTTTAGTCAAATATTTTATTTTGGAAATCGCAAGATTCAAATATCATAAGATTAAAAGGTTTTAAATTAAAAAAAAAAAATACTAATACTAAATTTTACGCAAAAATGTATTTTTCCTTCTCTTTTTCTTCAGGCATTCTACTTTATTCTTGGTCTTTTTCTTTAAGCATTCTGCAAGTATATTAAAAAGCATCCAATTTTTCGAAATATCTTGATATTTTTGACAATCATTTTAAATAAAGTTATCGCCTTCCATTTAATAAAGGCCCACAAACGGCCGAGCGGTAAAGTCGCTGAACACTGGTAGTTTACTCCAGGGTTTGAATCCCGGTAAACGGGTTGATTGCATGGGCGTTTTCGTGGATTTTTCTCATGTGTACCGTGTATGACAGCTGGTTTCTCTTAGAAAGTTCTTCACGAAGTATTTGGTCAGAGCCTTTATCAGTCTTTAGAGGCTAAACATTTTGAAGGTATGAGATAAAAGGGAAGACTGGTTTCATCAAGAGGTTTTGGTTTATTTAATTATGACAAAGCACACTAGGGCTCTTTGTCTAAGGGGAGGGATGCCTTCGTGGAGGACTTTCTAAGGGAAACTGGCTCGCATACACGTTACACATGGGGAAAATCACGAAAACGCCCATGCAGCCAGCCCGTTTGCGGGATTCAAACCTCAGACCGAATTACCAGTGTTCAGCGACTTTACCGTTCAGCCGCTGTTTCATCAGGAGGGAAAAAAACGCCTTTAAGTGACATCCACATACATCACTGGATAAACTCCTGAATCTTCAAATAATTCGACTGAGAAAATCATGGGATTCTCCATTTATGATACGATATGATTTTCTATAACGTAATTTAAATTTATACAACCATATAGTCTAAAACCAGTCGCTCTTCACTTTAATCTGCAATGATATCGTTTTTGTTGTATTTTCTGTTAATACAAGCTCAATTGATAGTATTTGCTGGTGCACACGTCCAAATGTTTTCTCTTTGAACACCTAAATTCTTTGAAGTATCCTGAAAGTATATTCAAAAGCGTCCAACTTTTTGAAACATCTTCGTATGTCTGACAGCCAAATTTCCCTGCAAATTTTTGCTTACTTTTCTCCCTAATTTTCTTCTTTCCTTCTACAGTTATTTTCAGTGCTCACACAAGAAAATTAAGATTTTTCGACTGCTAGACTTCCATACATTTTGCATTCTTGTCAATTTTTTAAAATATCAATTATATGAATTGCGTTTCAGCTAAAGACAGCTTTTCATTTTCTAGTCATTTTAAGCTATAAATAAAGTTTAAAGCGAAGTCCAAAGGATAAATATTTTAATTAAAAGATTTTTGCTAAATGACAAAGAAATAAAACAGTCCAGCAGGGTTTATTCTGTACCACAGAGTAACCCGATTCTTATATCGGCTGAAACAATCTAAATCATATTAAAGATCATGTTTTTTTATACAATCTATAACGCGAGAGAAAAATTAGCTTCTTAAAACATTCTTTCTAAGAGGATTAATATAAAAGATTATATTTATATATATATTTTTAAAGCTGGGACTTGAACCAAACTGTCAAACTTTTAAAGTTTAATTTACATGGTGGTTATAATTAAAGTTTCCAACTTTGAAATGGTCATAAAAAAAAACTACCGGACCAAATGTTATCAAACTTGGGAATCGTGTAAAGGAGGTTAGGTTATGGGAATTTATTTTCGGGGAAAAAAAAAAGAGTTCAAAAACTCACCATCAGGGAAAAAATGGCGCTGTATACAATATTGTTAAATGAAATAAGACACGAAAACATCTGTTTAAAATGTGTTTAATATTTTCCGAAACGTGTTACAAAGCATGTTCAATGTAGCGTCCAGCATTTTCCGAAAGCAAGTTAAATCATGTTACTGCATTCTCAACAGCAGCTCTTAGCATATCAGGTTTGGTTTTGGTTTGGTTTATTAGATTACGGCAAAGCACTCGAGGACTATCTGCCTTAAGGGAGGGATGCCTTCGTAGAGGACTTTTTAAGGGAAACTGGCTCGTATACACGTTACACATAGCATATCAGGAGGAATGTTATCAGTGTATCACATTTTTCATTTCTGCCAAATTGTTTAGATTATCACCATAAACAGTGCTTTTGAGATAACCTCATAGACAAAAGTCACAGAGGTTGAGGTCTGGTGGGAAGAGGGGAAGTGTTGGCCTATAAGACGTTCATTCGTGAAATGTTGCCTAAGTAACTATGCGACACTCTTGAGGTGGGTGCCCAGCCCTGCATAAAAATCGTAGTATCTAAAATGCCACGTTACTGCAGTTCATGTATCACGAAACATTTTAAACATTGACTCTAAGTGAGCTGCAATCGCAGTGGTCCAGCTGTCGACTGCTCTTCAGAAAAAAATGGTTCAGTTATAAAACTAGCTGTCATTCAACAGTAAACGGTGTGAAATGACTGTTATGCAATCGAATGCAGTAGGAGAATGCAATGGAACTAGATAGATAACATGAGAGATTTCTTTGGCCCAAATCGATTAAAAGCGTTTTGAATCAGTATCTTCATGTTTTAGTGCCGAATTCAGGCTTAAAAAATTACAAATTAGCGATCTGTAAGAAAACGATTTCCAGATTGTACGCACTTGTGAGAGTGATTTGCGATCTCACATTTTCTAATCGCTAATTCGTGGTTTTCACGGACGAAATTCTCACTTACAGGGATGGCGCACTCGACATTTATCGAATTTAACGTCTTTAAATGGTAATTTGCCTACTTCAAAGTTTCTTAAGGGTATACAACATATTAAACCCGTTTAACAAAAGGTTAAGTTAGATTCCGACCCATATTTCGTTTAACAATATTGCATACAGCGCCATTTCCCCCCTGGTGGTGAGGTTTCGAACTTCCTTTTTTTCGCGGAAAATAAATTCCCATGACCTCCTTTACACGATTTCCAAGTTTGATAACATTTGATCCAGTAGTTTTCCTTTTATGACCGTTTCAATGTGGAACTTTAATTATAACCACTCTGTATATTATTAAATTTTAATTTGAAGCTATGCGTTATATGTATACCATGCGTAAAATTTTCGCTTTTATGGAAAAATAAAAAATCGAAGCAAATATACTTAGTATAATGGACCAAAACTGAAAACATTTCCCCTCCCTCCGAAAATAAAATATTGAAATTTCGAACTTGAATTTATTGGGTTATCGAAATATTAATTTGACTTATCTTCTAAGTCCTAGTTCCGACAACAATTCCGTCAAAAATTCCGAATTACTTAAGCTAAAGTAAAAGATTTAGTATATATTCACTGTATGTTAATAAAGTAATCAGAGTGTAATAAAAATAGATTATAGAATTTACGCTGATGTAACTTTTTGTCTGACTGCACAACATGTAATGGAAGAGAAGGTTTGTAGAGATCTGTTTTTGACATGCCTCTAAAAGTAGATGTCATATTAATTTTGTCTCTTCAATGTCAAAAAACTTTCCTTTGAGAGGCAACTTTAGTTTTTGGGAAAGAAAAAAAATCACAAGAAGACAAATTTGAAGAACATGCAGGACGATTGAGTACACATACTTATTTTCGGAACACAAGCGGTTCTCCGACTGGTTATTGAATAATGAAAAGATGCATTGTCATGCAATACAAAACATTTGGAATACGTTTTCTGGCTGAATAACGTAAGATTAAAAGTCATCTGCTTAATTCACATCCATTTACAAGTCAACTACTCGGGCAATTGCAGAATCGTTTTGATCCTGAGCTTGTAAGACAAACCTAATATCACTGGATTTAAACACTTCTTTAATC